TTATAATCGAAATAACTTAAAACTAATAATTTATGCATAAAGTGTGTATTTTATTGATTTTTTTTTGCAGAAATAGTAAATAATTAATCTTATGATTTATGAATGTATGGATAATTCCACAATAAGACAGCGGCAACGCTGAGCGCTTGGAAAGTCAGATACTGATATTTCATTCAACATTTTTATAATTTTATACAAATTCGCCAAAAAACCCGTCACACGGCAACACTCGATTTGTTTGACAGCACTTGCAGCAACGATGAAAAAGTACTTTCTGGCTGTTTACACGTGAAAGTAGACTTTCCAGTTTGCACTTTGACTGCAAATTTCGTAGAAGTAGCGCTTGAATTGCCACGTTTAACTGCTCCTTTATATTTGAGGTAGCGTTAACGATTTTTTTTAGAGGAATTGACGCTCAAAATACTGTACTTTCGGTAATCGATAATCAACGTTAGAAATAGCGCTGATTAATTCGATGTTTCAACGCTTCGTAATTCGCTCTCTAAGGCCCAATTTCAGATGGTCTATTTAAGTAGAGATTGTTGATTAACTTTCATTACTCATTTTCAGATCATACATTTAATCTGCACTTAAATGGCCAATATTGGCTATTTAAATATGAGATGTGCAACCCTGTGTTTGTACCACACAACCAAGATTGATTGGTAGGTTGTTTAATCAATCCCACCAAATCCCACCAAAAAACAATCAGCTGTTCAGCACAAAATGTAAACAAACAAGCGCATGCAACAACAATTTCAAGGAACAAGCAGCAGTGCTGCCAATTGTTTGGCATATTTAAACAAAGTTGATCTGAAACCCAACGAAAGTTAAATGGCATTTAAACAACAATCCACAATTAAACTTAAATGCCATTTAAATATTAATTTGAAATTGGCCCTAAGTAATTCCCTAAGTAATTCGTGAATTACCCTTTTTCCACGCCACACATTAGTAATTCGTTTGGTAGCTGTAGTTCTTGTTCTTGTTCTGCGCTTTTATTATTATTTTTGTGTACTGCAAATATCGAAGATGGAGCTTAAATTTAAGTTATCATCTACAATTTTAATTTATATAGCGAATATTTTATTAATATTACTCTATAACTATAAAAAGTGCCAGCAATTGGGACCAGCCGGTGAAAACTTCGATATATTTCCGATAAATATTATAGAAGGTACCGATTCGTTCGTCATTCGTATGGTAATTCGATCTAAATTACCTACAAATGAGGTAATTCGCTCTCGCAATTTTGTATGGCGAATTACGTAATTCGGAAGGTAATTGGCAAGGCGAATGACGAATGGGAGAGCGAATTACGAAACGTGGAAATGCCGTATAAAGCGATAACTTTCGGTATTTCATCAAATAACTTAAAACGTGATACCGGGGACAAACATCTGATATTTGCATTATGGTAAATTTATTGTGGTATTTAAAATACTACTATAGTGACAGTAGTATTTCAGTGTCAAATTTAATGTTCCTGAAGAACAACACATAAACATAAAGATGCAAAAATAATGAAAGTATATTGCAACTTGCGGTATAAAGTTTTGGGTTCAATCGCACGAGAATTTCATTGACTGATAAATGATTTTTATTGATAAATGAGCAGCTGACATCTGTAATTTTTGGCTATGGTCAGTGCGAAATGTCCATTCATAATGAGAATACTACAAAATTTACCATTCCTTTTTTTGAGTAAAAGATACTGAAACACACTTAGTATATCGATTATTTTTGTGGAAAAGAGAGGAAACGCCTAATAAGTATAAGGATGATTATAAACTGCAGATAAGGTAAGTAAACATGTTTATGATTTTTCTATTGTAGAAAAATTATTAAGTTATTTGTTTTTTTTTAGTGAAGTTTGATCCGAGTTACACAGTTGTTTGGTAAAGGGCAGTGTTATCGATTTCGTTGCAAACAATGCAAACTACTATCGATAATATTATTACCAGTAGTTTGTAGTCAGCAATTTGCCACCACTATCTTTGCAACAGCTGAGTCGAGCAGACAAATAAAAGTAAAGGCGAAAAATCTAAGCGGAAAAAATTAACAAATAATTAAACTATTATATAAAAAGTGGAAATCGGGCATTAGAAGACGAAAGGAATATTTGAAAAAATGAGTAAGGTAAGCAAACGGCACATTAGGAGATTAGCAGGGAAAGAACAATTAACCGCAAAAAATTGAGGTTAGGTAGAAATGGCGCTGGATCGACTTTATAATCTTTTATAATTTATTTATTAACATTATTATTAATTAATTGTTTTTTCTCGCGCATTTCTTCAAAAATACGGAGGACAAAATCCCAACAGCGGCCGCAACTCCAATGAAAAAGGCAAGATGTAAGCAATCATTATCTAGCAATAACAATACAGTATATAAATCTTTAAAAAATATATACCTTATTCATTATAGATGCGATTGAAACTGACAACCCGGGACCAAGCTTCAGCGTATCCAGTGAATGTACTATAGGTGCGAGTTTTTGTAATTGTACATATGCAAAAATGTTGTGTTACATATGTATGCTTAAATTAATTTTTTATAGAATCACGTAGGATCAGCGTTTCGACATCGGCTAAGGAATACAACACTGGTAAATTATTTATTACTATGTCGAATATCGACATTCTGATACAAAACGAAAATTTGATGGTTATTAGTTTAAGCATACTGTGCTCATAGAGTTTAAAAATTTGTTATTTCAGAACCCAATCAAGGCGTGTTTGAAGTGGTGTGCTGCAGCCACTGCAATAAGTTCGAGAAACAGCTTCAAGCTATAGACAAAAAACTCGAACAGCTACAATTGACTGTCGAAACGCAGAACACTGCGATCATGGACGCAATATCTGGTCAAAAGGTTGCCACTGAGCAATTGGTTCGCCAGGAAGCACAAACTGCACCAGTAACCAAGTATTTCCCAATATGTGATATACCGGAAATGCAGCACCTTGAAGAAAAAATAACTCCTGCCAACAGAGATGTCTATGTATGTTTGTTGGATGTATATTTGTGATAGCGTAATCTCATACTAATTTTTCCAATTTACAGGAATCTGCGGTTTCAGCAATTTTATGTAACAACATAAAAAATATCAGGCTGCTGCTAAATATGGACGTTATAAAAGCTTTAAATGTGGATGGTTCACATGGGAAGATTGGACTAAAGTTCTTTCCTAATTTTTATGGTACATTGACTGGTAAGGAAAATGTAGTTTTCTATAAGTTCATATTTAATTTAAGCCTTCTTTATTTCATTCAGGAGCCGTTGCAAAGATGCCTTTTCAGGGATTGTCGCCGGAGGACACTCTCCGAAAAGCCATAAAATTTGAAAAGGCGAGATATTTTAAGAAAGCCTATCGCCAAAAGAAAAAGACGTCTGAATCGTAAACATAGATGCTGATTATAAACCGTACAAAGTAATAGTACAAAACCGTACAAAGTAATAGTTAAAAGACTATATGTAAAACATGAAATCTTATTTTTTAATTTTATACAAAGCTTGGAGCTCTGATTAAAGTCATTTTTGCTGTAATATTATTCATAAG